TCTTCCTTTGCGGCCCCGAGAATAGCCTTGCCGACAGGATGCTCACTACCCATTTCCGAAAGCCCGATAACTGTCCACCATAGACGCCTCCGCCACTCGTTGTCTCTCCAAAGAGGCACAAGTGTAGACTTAGCAACGCTCATCTTGCCGTGTGTGATAGTTCCCGTCTTGTCGAGGACGACCTGGGTCACCTTTGTTGTTCTCTGCAAAGCGCCGCCTCCTTTGATCAATATGCCATTTTCAGCCCCGACGCCCGTGCCTACCATGACAGCAGTGGGTGTGGCAAGACCAAGAGCACAGGGGCAGGCAAAGACGATGACCGAGATACACAGCTTCACGCACACCATGATCTTGCCGCCGCTGGCATCTTGCAAGAAAATCTTTGGTGGATTCGGCAGCGCGTGGCTCAGTACCATCCATGACATAAAGGTGAGGAGCCCAAGAACAAGGATGGTGGGCACAAAATAGCCAGCCAAAGTATCGGCCAGCTGCTGGATTGGAGCTCGCGTGGTTTGCGCATCCTGGACAAGCTTCACAATTTGACTCAGCTGGGTGTCGCGGCCAGCACGAGTGACTCGGAAGTCGAAGCGACCGTTACCATTAACGGTTCCTCCAATCACGTTGGCTCCGAGGCGTTTCTGAACTGGCATTGCTTCTCCGGTTACCATACTCTCATCAACATAAGTTTCGCCACGGACCAACGAGCCATCCGCCGGGATCTTATCACCAGGTCGAATAATGACAATATCGCCAACTTGGAGCAGTTCTGTGGGAACCAACTTCTCCTCATAGGCGGACGAGCCGCCAAGTTCTGGTGGTCCTTGAGGGGTTTTGGGAGTCTTGACGTCCTCTGCAGATTTAGCCCAAGCCTCTGCCTCTTTCTCAACGGCAATGGGATCTGCGTAAATTGTAGCCATGGAGGGTGCAAGAGACATGAGGCGAGATAATGCCTTGGACGTTTGTCCTTTGGCTTGATTCTCCAAAAATCGGCCAAAAGTAATAAAGGTAATTAGCATGGTGCTGGTGTCAAAAATGGTGCTGGGTCTCGTATGAGGAGGGAACAGTATTGAAACAAGCATTGCAAAGACGCTGAAAAAGAAAGCGCAGGAAGTGCCTAGGATGACAAGAACGTCCATGGTGGGGGATCCATGTTTGATTGACTTGTATGCTGACACGTAAAATCGCTTGCCAGTGCCAAATTGGACGGGTATCGTAAGAACAAGACATATGACATCTCCAAGATAAAGACCGGGCATCAACGAGAGCTTGCCAAAGTCGAGGGATGGTAAAGCCATTGGCAATATCATGCCAATAATGAAGACTGGGATCGCAAAAGTCAGGGACGTTCTGAACGCGGTGCGCCATTCAGTGATCTCTCGCGTCTTGGCTAAAGATTCAAGCTGTGCATTGTTGTCCTGGCTATCAGCAACCAAGGCATTTAGGCCTTCTTGCTCCACAGCCTCGACAATCCCTCGAAGGCCAATAATACCTGGTTGATGGGTCACTGTGAGTCTTTCGGTGGAAAGGCTCACCGTGGCTGATCTTATGCCAGGGGTGGACTTGAGCTTAGTCTCTAGCGCTTGAGCGGTGGCGGCATCGAGGCTGCCATAGATCCTGAACTGAGCTGTTGACGCCAGAGGTCCAAGGTCGCTGGATTCGAACTGGGTTGAGAGGACCGTGGCATCGAACCCGCGGTCCTCAATCGTCTCCGCAATCTGCTCAGGGGAAATTTTGGACACGTTGTGAGTGATGACGGCACGCTCTGCCAGTAAGCTAATGTTGAATTTCAAAACGCCCTCAACCCCTTTAAAACCTCCTTCAACGGCCGCTGTGCATGCACCGCATGTCATGCCTTCGATGGCCACCGTTGTAGTTGCAATATCACTTTGCGAAGCACCCACTTCATCACTCCCGGCCTCGCGCATTGACTTCGTCGTGTCTAGAACCTCTGCCCCGAAACCGCGGTCCTCGATGATTTCTGCGACTTGTTCAGGGGTTAAGAGGGCGGGATCGTGCTCAATTACTGCTCTTTCGGACAGCAACGATATGCTAAAGCTTTTAACACCGGGGACGTCTTTGAAACCGCCTTCAACAGCAGAGGTACAAGCGCCGCAAGTCATTCCTTCTACAGCAACTGTGGTGGTTACGAAACCGGAGTCGTTTACGCTGCCCTTCTGCTCGGTGAACCGGCTGCCTACAGGGCTTTGGAGATCTGTGGACAGAACCTCGGCGTCAAAGCCTCTGTCCTCGATGGTCTCTCGAACTTGGTCGGCAGAGATTGTCTGAGGATCGTGCATAACAACAGCGCGCTCCATTACCAAACTGACGGAGACGCTGCCAATACCAGCGACACCTTTGAAGCCCGCTTCAACCGCCGACGTGCATGCTCCGCAACTGTTTGAACATGAAAAAAAAAATACAGGTTAGCGAGTTTTATGATGCGACATTGCCCGGTCACTGCCGCTGAATAACACAGGATGTTGTCCGGGAGCATCGGAGGAACATAGAAAACGATGCTCGGAGATAAATGTACTCACGTCATGCCTTCTACGCGCAGAGTAGTTGTAGCCATGTGCGGACTCTTGGGTACACCCGGAGCTCCTACAGCGCCAGCCTCACGAGGCGGGATGGCGATATGCGACGGGGCCATTGTTGATATAGATGAAGCTATTATGGGGTATCCGTCTCAAAGGGCAGCGTCGCAAGATTTTCTCGACTCAGTCGGCCCACAGCGGTCGTCCAGCGACGAGGTTATATCTCTTATTCTCGTCGGCGCAAAAAGGGGGGATATTCACGCTTGATCGACGTTGTCACAGGGTTTGTGAGACCATATCGGGCGGTTGGACTAATTCGTGAGAAGTTGGCTCAATGGTGCAATAACCGTCCGGCACTTGGGACCCTGCTCGTCCAGAAGCTGGCAAGGGTCGCAACAAGAAAGAACAAAGGAGCACCACCACCAGAAAGCACCGGGCTCTCGAATGTGTATAGATAATGGGGGCTCGGGTCGAAGAAATTGTCGTCGAGGGGTCGAGGAATAACGGTAGTGAGACTAAAAACACAGAAACAAAGCGCGGCAGCAGGACGGTGGAAAGTCTGTACAGTAATATGGATTTCAATAGACCAGAACGTTGTCACAATAGATGGGGGTCGCAAGGGTTCGGATGGTCCAGGATTGGCCGGCATAACTGGAAGGTGGGTGGCACTTGCGTTGCGACTTTCTTGGTCACAGGCTACGGCGGGAGATGTTTGACGGTACCGTCCGGTGTGCCGCCTAGCGCCCCGCACCATAGACGCAATAAAGTACCTGGGAGGTACCTCGGCACCCAAGTCCTTGGATCTGATACTTTAGATACCTGCCAATTGCTTCGTACCAAAGGACACTAGGCGGTACAAACGCCCGGAAAGGTCCAAGAAATATTAAAAGTTAGTCTGGATGGACACGGACAATTTGCTCTTAGATCGCAAGCTCGGCGCTTCATCCACGCGTGGTTGCAACAGCCCCCCCCGGCGGGTCGGCCTCGAGGCCGCAAAAGGCCGGAAAGGGCGGCAAGGGCAGAATGATGATTCAAGGTATTCAAGGTATTGATTGTACAGCATGCACGGCCGTAGCTCAGAAATCTCGCACCCTGTCAAATCACATCCCGTTCGGCTGCCGTTGCTTGTGACCTTGCAGCGTGGGAGCATCGAGCTAGATTGAGGGTATATTTCTCTGATAGTGCCCGGTATCCAGGCAGTACTTTGCACATGCAATATTATATTATGCAACCAGACTGCATACAATATGCGTCCTTACATACGTCAGGACGGTCACCAAGATGCAAGCAGCAAGTGCCTCCTCCTCCTCCTCCTCCTCCTTTTACTCCAAAAGATTCATGAAATCTGCGTGATGCCTGCATCAAATCTTCCAGTGCTAGCCAAATCAAGTCTTGATCGCTGTAAGCCTAGAGCTTCCCCCTTGACATGATTGGCACATTCTCATCGCCTGCCGCCTCTCTGTCACGGATTGTTTGGAGTCAAGTTGCCAATCTGTTCCAGCATCCCGCCCCAAACGGCACCGAGTGTTTCCGTTCAGCCGGCTTGCCACGGCCAACTGCCTGAATCCGTCCCTATCTTGAGACTGTTTCTTTCATCACAGGCGAGTGCATGGTGTCTGTCTGGCCGATACTGCTGTGTGTCTCCAAAGATGTGAGATGTGACGTGACGAAACAAGAAAAATGGTGCGAAACACCGACTACCACATCACCATGCTTGTTTCTACATGTATCGCTGCTTTGACGAGTTCCAATCTCAACCTTTAGTCCACGGCCTGGGTTCCGTGCCCAAGCCGCGCCAGAATTTCACAGTAAACACTGGTACGATGGGGAATAGGCGCCATTAGTAGTACCTACCTAGGCAGATCTGAGTAATGAATTTTGGGTGATCTTGTAGCGAGAAACCCGTCGACCCTCCAATTTCTTAACACACTCAATTCCGTTGGCCGTGCACTTCCCGCCCACCAGACAGTCAAAGCACACCAAACAAGTCGAACCAGGACTGGGTTCCAGACCCAATCCTCTGTTGACATTTTCAACCAGACATTGATGGAACCAGCCTGGCTGGACCCCCGCCTAGGTCCCGCCTGAGGCTCACCTGGAACAAACACCACCGGGGACCTCTGGTGCTCGTGCTCGTCGTGCTCGTCCCTTGTCCGACGTCTGTGAGACCTTCAAACACGTCTGATACGCTCAAGGAACAGCGCCGCTTCTCCCGCCTCCGTCACTCCATATCGCCCAGAGATACTATCGCACCTATTCCAGGAACAGAACTATTGGGTTTCAGCTCTTCCATCAGACATACGCCTGCCTCATAGCTACCTAGGTATTTTGCAAGCTCCACCAGGGTCCTGCACTCGCAAAAGAGGCTAGGCTTGCAGCAGCGGCCAGTGCCTTTCTATCCTTCACGCTTGCGTCACCTCGGGCCGGAGGTCAAGATCAGTGACCTCCAGCACCCCAAAAGCTGCCATGGAGCAAAACAAGGCTTTGAACGCCCTCGAGGTTGGTCCCCTTGGTGTATGGGAGCTGCCGCACGCCAGGAGAGCCATCCACAGCATCATCTATACTGACAGACACATTTCCATCACAGCCGTTCCTCGCCCTCTCCAAATCGGCCACATCTCCCCGTGCCGCCGCCGACCTCGTCACGCGAGCCACCTCCGCCCCAAACACCTACATCTTTGCAGAACTCCTCCAACAACCACAGGTCCAAGCTCTCTCCCAAAACCCCGAGTTTGCACCCCACCTGACGCTCCTCCAAATATTCTCGTATGGCACATTCCAGAGCTACCATGACACGCCCAACCTCCCACCGCTGAGCGAGCCTCAGATGCTCAAGCTCCGCCAACTCTCTCTGCTCACACTCGCCCGGGACAGGTCAAATCTGTCATACGAGGCCCTCCAGAAAGCGCTAGGACTCACATCAGCAAGACAGCTGGAAGAGCTCGTCATCACCGCCATATACGCCGGCTTACTCCACGCCACTCTCGACCCAGCCCGTCAAGCAGTCCAAGTAAACAGCGTGGCACCACTGCGTGACCTCTCGCCAGGGTCCGTCCAGGACATGATTGCCGCCCTGAGCAACTGGTCAGACAAATGCGCCTCCACGCTAGGTGATCTAGAAGCCCAAATCAGAAATATCCGTTCTGCTGCTACGGCGCGTGAAAAGGAAAAAAGGGCAGCAGAACATAGGACCCAGGCCCTCATGTTAGAAGCATGGGATTTGGATAAGAAGAAGGATTTGCCGGGACGGGATGCTCTTCCAAGGAGAGGCTATAATAAGCGATCCATGGTGGATGCTACCAATGTCACAAGTGAGGAGACAATGGATGTAGACGAGCCTCCTGCTGCCGAAGAGCAGAAGAAGCGGTCGAGTAAGCGCAAGATGTAGAGGGCCTCTCTGTGATGGGAAATCAATGGAAATCACGGAATACGATGCAATGTCACTGGTATAGCGCATGGTTCATTCTCCAAGGCGCCAAAACCACCGTATCACGAAGTAGACGAGACAAAAACATAATAATAGACAACAAGAAACTTTGATTCTCTGCGATTATTTTCCCTCCATTGTCCACTCAGGTTTGCTTTGATTTGTTGATTTGCTTACTTTTTGACCGCTTTACATAAAGGAAATGCTGCCTAGAGAGATATCCCTGCGGGATTTCGTACATATATGATTGCAAAAAAAAGAAAAAAATTATTGGAAAGGAACAGGCAAACAAGGAAACAGGGAATTCTTAAACGGGGATATTTAATAAATGGGCTGAATGGCCTCTAAAAGAAAAGCATACCAAGCCGGACGCCAAACCCCAGTGCCTGTCTGAAAATATGTATAGAGAAGGTATGAAAAGAAAGAGCAAATTCCACCGTAGTGGCTTCAGTCGTCATGGTCATTAGAAATCTCCAGTCCTGGCCCACCATCTCTGAGAAATGAAACTGCAAATTGACTATTCATTAAGAGAAAGCCAGTGCAAAAAAAAAAAAAAAGCAGGCCGGTTCCAAGGGCAGGCTCGCAGTGGGAAATCAATAATAATGTTCACAGTCTCTTGCCTGGTACGAGAATAAACAGAATGCAAAGAGCCGCATCGATGAGAATGGTAACGGCCAATACCATCATGGCTCGCTTAGCAAGAAGTTGACGGACATAGGGTTCTCGAATTCGCGAAAAGTTGAAGGGTGTGTATTCGCTGTATCCTATGAGGGCCATGATTGGATCCAACGAGTATTGGTACGAGGATAAGAAATAGACACCAACGGTGAATGGCAGTATGAGCTGTTACATATTCATTAGCAGCCGTTTCGGTAACATGTGACAGAGGAAGGAACCACAGTGCACTTACCCAGCATCTTGTCTGACGAGACTTGTCCAGGAATATGAGAATGAATGCTGCCCAAAACGCTCCAAACATGGAAACCAGTCCAATAATAAGACGCATCACAAGAGTGGGAGGAATCAAGTTGCCCAGAGCCTTCATCCTTAAGAACCCAGGAAAGGCATCCCGCTCCATAGCTTGAAAAACGTAGTCTTTGGCAACATCAAACACCTCCGGATCATCGCGGCCGTATTCCTCAATGGCAGTCGTAACATCTTGCGTAATAGATCCGGGAAGGGTAATTTCTCGCTCTGCCCCAGGAAGCAGGAAGGTGTACAAGATCTTCTCCGCAGATGCTCTGATATCTTGTCGGGCAACAGTGTGAGATGGCGAGTTCGAATCAGTCAAATCGCGAGGCGTGCTGAATTGAGGGCTGGGTCGGGCAATACCAGAGCCACTGTGAGGGGAGTCATGGGTCTGTTCCTCGCGCAAGAAGGCCGACATTTGAGCATCCTGATCCTTCTCCTTCTCGGTCGAATACATTGACGGTCCAGCTGGGCGCGGTTCCAAATCGCCAATATTCTCCAGAATTTGCGATGATCGCTTTGAATTCGTCTTCTCAATGTCCGGTGTCGCAACCAGAACAGATCGTCGCAGCTCGCGCACATAATGTCGGCACAGCGACATGTGTTGAGCGACATCCAGCCAGAAATCGAGATAATCGACTGACCTCTGTTGGTCTCGCATATAAATGTAGAATGAAAATAAATCCACTGGTGGCAGCGTCCGCCGGCTCAGCACTTCAAACAACGTCGGGAGTCGATTTCTCGTCACATCTGGTTGCGGCGGCGGCGTCGCCAGGCGGTGGTTATCGGTCATGTTGACAGTTATCGGCTGAACGTGCCTACAGGTAGCGAGCGACTGGTTGCTTTCAAATGATGAAGGCGGGCGAATGGCTGGGGAATTGTTGGAGACGGGAAAACCCAGCGTAGCGGCAGGAGACTGGTCTGCCCGACGTTTCACGATTGTTCCCCTAAATTTGGCCAATCAAACACCCAAAAGGTCTCCTTGGGGCGAGCCGCGCCAAAAGTCCGTGCAACAGCAGAAAAGTCGCGAGTAATGAGAAACGAGAAATGGCGTCTGAAGTCGGGCAAATGTCGCCAGTCGTCGGGCAAATGGGAAATGAGATGAGGAGAGGCTTCGATTACGCAGAAGCTTCACCCAGGCTTCGGTGTCGGGCAACAAGACGAACGGACACAGACGGTCTCCAGGGAGCACAGGTCGTAAGTTAACTGGTAAACAGGCTTGGTTGACGTGGATCGGCGCCCCTTCATCTATCAACCAAGTTCTCAGCTAGTTGATTTGCTCCTCAGGCATGAGGGTCCACTTTTTATTCACGATGGTTCCTGGCAGCAGAAGTGGTCCCAGAAGATACGTACTGTCTCACGTGATGTGACCAGCTTGCTCCAAGTGTCAACCCAGATGATTGGCTCGCTACTCCCCACTACCACAATTCGAGCCTGCCCTACGCACAAAGAATTTGCGGAATTTGGCTCTCCGATATCACAACCTCCTCAACGCCAGATCCCACCAGACGATCCGCAGGTACGAACCGGTGCCCCCAGACGAGAATACTCTCTTCTCAACCCTCTTGCGCGAAATTGAATTCGTTATTTAGTTTCTTCCAACTATTGAACGTCTTCATGCTTGAGCCCGCCTCATCGCCACTCCGAGTCGCTGCCAACGAAATAAAAAAAACTAACATCAGGCTTCAGAAATGTCGTCCGCTAAGAAGACCTCCGGCAAGGCCCAGCGCTCCGCCATTGCGGATGTCGTCGCTCGCGAATACACTATCCACCTCCACAAGAGAGTACGTGTGACGATATGATGGCCCCGAAGGAATAGCGATTTTAGAACAATGTTTGGCTAACGGTGTTGGAAAAGTTGCATGGTGTTACCTTCAAGAAGAGAGCCCCCCGTGCCATCAAGGAGATTAAGGCTTTCGCCACCCAGGCTATGGTACGACTTAATTCCTCATCTCCTACGAATTTGCGATCCAATCCTACGGACAGACGATATACTCGCATACGGCCATTATACTATAAAGCGTCATGTCCGCCGGAGACAGATCTGTCCATTTCTTTTTTTCAAGCGCATGCAGAAGTACTAACCGAGTGAATTCTACAGGGCACCAACGATGTCCGCCTGGATCCCCAGCTGAACAAGAAGGTCTGGGAGTGTGGTATCAAGGGCGTTCCCTTCAGACTCCGTGTCCGGATCTCTCGACGACGAAATGATGAGGAGGACGCCAAGGAGAAGCTGTACAGCTACGTTCAGGCCGTGAATGTCAAGAACCCCAAGGGCCTCCCCACGGTCGTTGTTGAGGAATAAATGCAAAAAAGGATGTTTCTCTGAAGTTGGGACTGGTTCTAAAGGTGGCATGGCATTTTGGAGTTGCAACCAGGCTTTTTCTAGCTATTCATGCGGAAAAGAAAAAAAATTATATACACTGAGGGCAAAATGTGATTGATATCTTTTTCCTCTACTCCTTCCTAAGAGAGGGTTTGGGGTGACGGCCGAGGTGTTGTCGACATTCTAAATGTGATGAGTGCATTTGATTCCCACGGCTGTTTCAAGAACATTTAGTAAAATGTACTACAATGCGATTAATGTCTCACCAGGTTAAACTTCGAAATTCAATTTCTAAAATGAAGGGTTGTTGTGTAAGAGCTGCAAGTCCGGCTACCCATGAGAGATCAATTGATGAATACGTCCCCCACTCTAAAAGACAATGATGAATGTTGGCAGAAGCGTTCCTTCGAGTCACCGAACTCGGTCTGCCTCACTCTCTCAAGCCGAAGTATACTGCCAGTTAACGTCCAATTTAGCTTCGTGGAGAGACTCAAATGCGAACCCAATGTACCATGATTAACCTGACCGAGGAATGTTTCCCAAAAGACTCCAGTTCTCCTGAATTGACAAAACGCAACAAAAGGTATTTCCCAATGCTCAAAACAAGTGTATGCGTCCTATTCCTCCTCAATGTCTCTGTGGCGCCCCGTCACCTTCTTCTTGAATTCTTCAGCATTTGAATCCCACAGTTCAGCAGCTTCTCCGTTCAAAGGTGAGGAGCTGTGACCAAAGTTAGCATGTGATTAACTCACAGTGGCCTGATCAGTATGGAAGAAGGGGCAACTTACTTGTTTGGCTCGCCAAGCAGGCTTTGGAGGCTCAGGAGAACAGTCTGGATGTTGTAGGCAGCCGTCCACTTATCCTTAAGAATGTCAAGACAAATCCGGCCTGAGAAATCGACGTTAGGGTGATAGATGGGCGTCTTGAAGAGGACAGTGGGGGGAGCATATGGATAGTTGGAGGGGAAGGCGAAGCTCAGCTTGAAGGTCAAGCCGGCGTAGGGGGTATCGTCAGGTCCCTCGATGGTAGCAGTCCACGACAGCAGATTGCCATCGGCGGAAGGAAACGCGGACACACCAGGAGCAGGCGAGGTCATGAGCTGCATAAGCTCAGTTTGCAATCTAAAAAGATACGAGTGTTAATGGCTTACTTTCGTGATTGTCTTGCGACAGCCATAACTCGATATCGAGAAGGGCCATTTTGGGTAGCGAACAAAACATACCTTTTGGTAACGCTCTGCGAATCGGGGCCCTTTCTCGAAGTATTGAGCTTCGTAGCAGGGACACTGCCAGGGGCAGAATTCTGGCTATCCTCCATGGCGAAATCCATTGTCGTCAGACTACAACGAGAAGAAAGCAATGACGAGGCTTCGTACGAAGTTCGACAGAGTGTTGAGCAGCAAGTAGTCCCCAGACGTTAGCGGTCAAGGTCCCAGCTTCGACGAGAACGGAGTTGACAGTTTGGGGGGGTGGGAAATCAGTTGACTAGGAAATAAGTAGGGAAGTAGACGGCCGAGACAGAAGCCGAGGAATTCAACCCTCAAAAGGTAAGTAGGACGGTGTGTGGCGGAGGGCGAGTGCGTGTCGGGTTGAAGCTCTAAGAATGCGCGAGGCAAAAGATATGCGTTGGGAGAAAACGGTTCACCCGACAAGAAAAATAAGTGCAG